TGATGATGATGATGATGATGATGATGAGGATGATGATGAGGATGATGATGATGATGATGATGATGATAATGATGATGATGATGATGATGATGATGAGGGGTGGGACAGACCGAGGCTGGTTTTTTTCGGTTTTTCCTCCCAACTTTTATTCTATTTTTCATTTTCATATTTTTCAGGAAGATCCTCTAGAACCAGCGCTCCGTCTTCTCCCCGGTTTTTATGGCACCATGGTCGCTGTGAATATTGTGTCCATTATACTAGGCGGCTCCGAAGGTATGTCTCGGCTATTCTTGTTTGGAGTCTCCGATTTTTGGGTAAATGATTGGCCTTTTTTGTGGTTTCATACTTTGGTGAACCATTGCTGAGCATGCTGTGACATGGCCCATCTAGTTGAGCGTTGGGGAAATAACACCGTAGTATTTGTTAGTTCTCCCGGTGCTTCTTCATCCAGGTAAGGGTAGAGAGTTAACTGAAGTACGAACGGGTACCTGGTACGATTTTAGTAGTACCTCGAGGCTTATGAAGCGAAGACCTCCTCCATACCTTATCGGATTGCAAGTTGGGCCTCATCTTTCGTTTACGTACTGGATACTAATATCGGTGGATCTTTGAGCAGTCTTAGTTATCCCACCATCACTTAAATTCCTCGTAAGAAGCAATTCAGATCCACGGACAATCAGGTTCCTAACTTGATAGAGAATGTGGATTTCTCGGTGCGAAATAACACAACCGAAGACGGACTCTCATTCTTAGGAGTCTGCATTTCGCTGTCTTTTTTTCGCATTTGCCGCTTTTTTGGTCGTAAGGCCAGGCGGGTTGGATCGTTTTTGTTCTTAGCACCGCAAGCATTGCACTCCCAGTGTCCACATGAACATCAACAATGGACGCATTGTAGGTTCAATCTGTTCTTGCCTTGGACTGCATTAGGACCCAACATTAAATTCCTTCTCCATCTCAACCTGAAGCCGGGTGACTCCTGATTGCAATTAGGTTTATTTCTGAAAAATACCTCTAAACTGTTTACACCGAACCTTTAGGACCCATCAGACTATAAGCTTAACAACGGTAAACCCTCAAAAAAATAAATCCCCAAGATAGACTGTGTGCTCCCTTTTCTTGGAATGCTCTCTCTCTCTCTCTGAGTGAGCTTGTTGTTGTCGATAATGACAGATCCTACTCACTGCATGTACTGAATCAAAACTTCAATGTGGCTCTGAGCTACTGCAATCCGGGCCCTGAACGTCAATGTGGTCTTCTGAAGCCCCTAGATTAATACAGTCCGATTTTCCCTCAGTGCCACAACCAGCATTTATACCCTTGTAAGAACAAAAAGACAGCTGTTGCTGCCGAACTACAAGTATGGTTGTTTGGAAACTCAAAGGCCAGCATCTGCACTCTAACCTAAGCACCACTAACAAAGTAGTGCTTCTGTTGTAAGGGCTGTCACCTTCAAAATATTTTAGCCCGACAAAATGTGAAGTAAGCCGGTCAGTTAGTAGTCATTGTGACAGCCATCCTCCATTATATTTTGTACACTATGGATGGGGTTGAAAATAGTATATATTACTCCAGGGATCTGACAGTTCATACAGTGATCGTCCAGCACAACAGAGTATCCTTAATTAACTTGGCATTTTCATCCCGAAGGGCGAGATAGTCCAAGTGGTTAGAGCGCGAATTTACTGACCGAAAAGTCCGTGGTTCGAACCCGACCTCTGCCTCTCGACTTCCCCTGTCTAGGTTTGGACAACCTGGCAGTATCCCAGCCCTCATGCAACCTTCGGGTGGCATGGCAGCTAGGCACCGAAGGGGTGTTACAGCTGAACGATTAATTAATTTTTTCATCGCGAATATGTGAGCGAACCTAGGCCATTAGATGGCCCGGTGGTCAACCTGGAATGACTCTCAGATCAACACTGATGCAGTAATGTGTTGTGAATCTTCCTCCAAGAAGCAGCCCGGTTCGGACTTGTCAGCTGATTTTCCTCCCCCGCCTAGGGTACACTACGCTGTTTCCATCCTGATGGTTTCCGTATTTTCGGATTTCTAGAATCCCCTGTCGACTACTTGCTTGTTCTGTTCGCGCTCTGGACAACTGGTTTGTTATTGAACCTCCTCATGAGGACGTGAACGTCTTGCAATCCGATGTACCCCTATTATTAGTACTCAAGCGGAATGATTTAGTGAAATTAGCTACACTACTGTTAAATGTAACCTTGTGTGTACCACCTAGAAATGTAAAGCTTGCGACTACGCGCAATCAAAGTCCGTCGCAATAATTAGATTCGATAAATAAATAGTCACACGTCTGTTTACTTTCGAACAGTAGTCACAATGCTCATTCTGGATGCGGTGCTGCTCAGTTGCAGCGAATTTCCTTGAGTCAGTACTGGCCTGAACCAGTACGCTCATATCCCCTCAATTTTACCACTATGATTTTGTTTACTTGGGTAACCATGTGCCAACAAAACCCCTCTATTGTGCGGCCTCGAGCATGCAGGCACACTTGATCGTGAGGCGGGATGCGCTCTAGCCTAAGCAACCAGACTGCCTTGGTTGAAAGCTGTGCAAAAACCAATCACTCGATGCTTTGTCTGCTTCCTACTGGTCGTTAGGTTCCGATCGCACCATTGGTTGCTATGCCCGGCACGGTTACTCGACAGCGATTGGCGCAAAGGTTAGGGGCTGGAAATGACTCAGGCTCCGTACCCTCGATTGTTCTCATATCTCGGGCCTCCATGACAGATTGGCTAATCCAATCTACCTCCACTGGAGGTCGAATAACCAGACTGCCGAGTAGTGGGGCCTGATAGGCTAAGCCCCAGGCGCGTCTAGGCCGAACAATGACTTGAACCCCCTGTGTTCAGTTAGCCTTGGACCAACTTTGTGTCAGTAATTTGAGTATTCTGGCCTGGAAGATCAATGAATATGAATTTAGCGGTTTCGGTCCAAGTTCGGCTCGGATCTTGTTAAACAGAGTGAACGTCTTACGGTGTGTAATATGGAAAGTTAATACACAGTACAGTGAGTTAAGACGTTATAATCCGACGTTTCGGTTCCGTTATTTGATTGCAGAAAGCAATTGTACAAATCCTTGGAAGAGGTTGACCCCGGCAACTGAAACGTCGAATTATGACACTATATTCCACTACATTGTGTTCTGACTTTCATTTTTCCGTAGAATTTGAATTAGCTTGGATGTATGTTTTCCAGCAGACGTTGCTAACGACAGCGCAAACTGTGAGTGTTCCCTACTTTACCGTTCACTTCAGGGTAGTGCTCCTTTCATTATCGATGTGTCCTTAAATGCTCACACCTGTATTGCCCGATAGTAGTTCGCCCACAAAAGCCGTCCCCGAGACGGGCCATATCAATGGTTAGAGACATTGTCAGACATGGCCCAGTCACGCCCTCAATGGCGCTCATGCATCCAAGCTGTCACCTTCAATGCATAACTCCCTAATCCCCCCACTTAACAGTCCACCTACAGTGCTGTATTTACGCACTAATTTATCAGCTCCCGCCTACAATGCGCAGCTAGCTACCCCTCCTCCCTGAATCATCGATGAACGAAACTGTGGCAGCTGCAACCACTATACGACAAGTACGCAGTTATTACAACTAACAACGATGATGATGATAAGTTGTACAGCTACGTGATCCTAGGAACCTTGGTATGTTGGGTTAATCTGTACATGACGGATGGAACATGGCATGTGGAAAAGGTACTTCGCCTGATGAACTTCTATTGAAAACAGTGGCGTTCGGATTCTTTACTACTCAGTTTTGTAATACTGGTACTGTAGTACTGGTAGTTTCTTTATGATTATGGCTGGCGTGGATGATACATGTTCTATTGCAGAACCGCCATAAGTGGACCATACTTGACTGTTAGGATGCGTGTGCTAAACAGGAGATGTGGGTTTCAAAACATGACGTAATCAACCATCATTTGGTTGCAAACGTACTTACTTTCTTTTGGAAGCTAACTGGAAGTTTTCGCGACCAAATTGGTGATTTTCATCAAAGGTCGAAATAAAAACCCTTGGAATTAATAAACAGGACTTGATTGTTTAACGAATACCGATCGTCAGGCAGACCTGAGGGAATTTGCCACCGGATACGATAGAGAGGATCCTATGTGGCCCAATGCACTGAAGCCTAGTCACGACACCTAATAACGGAACTAGCCAGGAGTGGTCACTCCAGTGTTCGCACGTGTCTATGGAAATTCCCCCACTTATGTAAGCCTTTTGTTCTTCTATAATCTTTTTTGGATAAAATGAATTCGGAGAAGTAATCTCTTGAAAGCTTGAAATGCATTCACTCTTAATTCACATCACTAACTGGCACCTCCTCCATTCTCTGAAAGACGAGCATTGAACTAGCTGGCCGGAATACCGAGCCAATCTGATTGTTTGGGTCACACGCACTCCTTGTGTTCCGGAAGGAAACGCCATCATTTTGTTCATGTGTTCGTGGCAGGAAACTGATTGTACCGTCCAACGGTCAGTGAAAAAAAGATTAGTTTTATATGAGCGAAAACTGTCTGTAGAAACAGGATTAAAATTCTCCAGAAGTTCAACAAAACTAATATAAACGTAGTCGTGTAAGAGCGGGAATACTGATTTTTAGGGGACTTGATTCGATTGTTGTCACAGGAACAAGAATGACTCTAACTGGTATGCAAAAATCATTGAACAAATTAGCTAAAAGACTGATCGACCAACAATCGAGTCTCAACCGTTCCAATGGCCACAGATCCACCAACATCACTCTCAGGGAATAATGGCAAAAGCTTCACTATCTTCACACTTCTATGAGCTTTCCTCTGGTGGCTTCATGCCTGCGGTATTACTGTCTGCACATCCAGTCATCGCTCGAGTAGCCAGTCAATACATGGCCACCTGATGTGGTTCCCGTCACTGGGGGATGAGTGGCGCTAGATCCTGTCTAAGCGAGAGCTAATCACACTGCTGTCCAGCGACTCGTAGCCAAACGGTTAAGCGTTCAACCACAGGTCGGAACTCTGTGCTTCGTAAGATGTGCACTGCCAATGATTCACAACAAGGATGAAACAGCGTACAGTGCATTCACAACAAGGATGAAACAGCCGTACAGTGCTTCTCCGCTTTTCAGCATAGATTGGCTTCACTTACAGGATGAAACCCCTGGTTAAGATTTATTACTGATAGTCAAGCACCGCGAGCCCTTCGACATCAATGTCTCTCATCCCAACCTGCTTTTATCACATCGGATACCTGACGAATAGCGTTTTACTTAGATGGCTTGTTATTCCTTTCCTTTCATTCCCAAGTTACTGAAAAGAAAGCCCAAGCTGTGGCTTTCCATAGAAATAAAACACCAGTTAAATACTGCACATATGAAATCAGCGAAACGCATTATGCAGCGTCATCTTCCCCTTGACCTTATCCTAGTAATTTTGAGAGTGTATGTACCAGAGTTAATAGCTTCCTCTCGTGTGTAGGTTAAAGGAAGGAACACCGCCATTCGCCTCCCAGCTTTCGATTGCTAAACATGTAAGCATGGCTTGAACATTATTGCGGATTCAGGACTAGATAATAAACAATAAAGCACTCTGTGTGACCGATGAACTGTCGATTATGGAGTTCCTTACGCCTGCTGCTAATGTTGCCTCCAAAAAATCTATGATCACGTGGTCGCTTTCTTGCAAATCCAATAAATTATCGCCTACTGGGCTATCAGAGTAACAAAACGCACACATTGAAGATAATGTCGAGACATTCCAGGATCGTGGTTCCCACCGGGGATAAGAATTTTTCTGTCGTGGCGTGTTTGTCTGCGCGATACTTCGAAATACACCTTTCTAATGTATTTTTATCAGAATAGAACGGCACCAAGTTAAATTTCATCCCACTTGTCAAGAGGAAATGTACAAAAGACGCCGCTTTGTTAAAGAATCATTCTTTCCCGGTAGAAAGTTGCCTGTGGAAATATTTTCCAACAAAGTGTTCAATTTACTGTTTGCCTTCCGTCGATGAATCTCTCACTACACTACAAAATCTCTAACATCTGTAGAAAATAAGTCACTTCATCTGGAACGAAATTCTTTCTTTAGCAAGGAGATGCAGGATTCACTCAGTTCATACTCATCCTCTCCATCTATTTCACTCTGATCTAAGCACTGTACGAGATCGCTCAAAGTCTGGAACGGTGCTGCTTAAAATTGACCCACCTTCTGGTTAGGGAAACACCTCGGGTTATGCCTTACGACGATGCCCTAGAGATGCAAGTCAGCCCAAGTTTAAGGATAACTCGAATAGTAGGAGATGAGGGACACGGGTGAAAATGTCACTTTGTTATCCCAAACTGGAAATGGACAGACACCCAGAATCCCGATTACTAATTGAGTCAGACAAACCCCTCTCATATTGTCGCTCAGTGGTCCGTCAACCGACCGGTATAACAACGATATGCCTATCTCACAACCGATAGGTGGTTTAGAATCACGAAGTCCAGGATGTCTTGTTCCATCGGTTACTCACATTTCCAGCAAGTTCAAAGGGGAAGAAAAAGCTCGTAACATCACATGAACACATCTTAGTGTGCGTAGTCTAGAAAATAGACTTCAACAACCATGAAGCGAATCATCCGTACTACAGCAAACCAACTACACACATCACAGACCATGTTGTCCCGGCGTCTAGCACAACCAGCCAGTGAATACTCCAACCTGCATCATTTCTTATCGATAGAAGATGATAACAGCACAGCGCGGATTATACAGAGTGGAAGCTTGATAGAGTGCCCACCTCTTCAGGTATGAGAGTATACCTACTCTAAACAAACGAGGTACAAGGACA